ATAAAAAGTATTTTTTTAATAGTTTCGCTGCATCAAGTGCTTGTTTGATGCTTGGTGGAGGGACAGGATCGTCTTCTTCAACAACGTACACAGCTGCAGTTCTTATCTATTTCGGCAACTTAGAAAGTACTGCTTAATGATTTATAATGCCGCATTGTTGTCGTTAAATAGAGTGAGCGTGACGCTATATAGAGTGTAATATTGTATGGAAAACAATGTAAATCAACCAAAGTCGAGCAATTTCGACGTTTTAAGGAGTTTGTCGTTAAATCGAGTGAAGAGTTTACACTGTATTTAAAATTTCATAAAAAATCATTTATAGACAATAAAGATTATATTAAAACTGAATTTTGGTGAAGGCGCCGGACATAAATAACATTCAAGAATACCTACTCTGTTTAATTATAAACTTAATATTTGTGTAACCAAAGATATATTTATGTAAATTTATTTTTAAAGGGAATGTACTTAGTAGGCTACGGAGTACACTCATCAGCATGGCAAATCCGTGTTCCGGCAGCTGAACAGATGCTTCTGAAGAATCACAGCCCATTCAGCACAGTTACAGTACTATTAAAGTCATTGGAAAATATTTTAAACGGCATAAACGCCCAACACCCTAAAGAAGAGGTAAACAACTCACTAACATTCTGACTCCATCCTAAATATGGTGATTTTCTTTATTCTTTACGAAACCTAAATTAAATAACCCTCTAGAGTCTATAGCTCATAACATAACGTTAGTTTTGATGTTAAGGTTTAGAATTTTCAACCATTATTTTTATATATATCAGGATTCTTATTACAATCTATCTTGTGCCAATATTCGCATTTCCCGACAATTAGAACCTTCCACATCCTTAATTTTTTGCGAAGATTATTCTATTGTAGGTCCCCTTTATCATATCTTATTCCTGCTTCTGCTTCTAGTGGTCTCTAACTATGTGTTTTTTTATTTCCTCCTTCGTTTCTCTATTTATTAGGTTATCTGACTTCCTACACATCGAAAATCGGCGTCTTCTTCTTCTTATTGTCATCATCACAAGATCGTTAGTCTTAAGACTGGTTGAACATGCACCTCCACTCCTCCAAAACTAGAACATCCCAGATCCTTAACTATTTGCGAACAGTAATCTAATCTAAGTCTACCTCTACTCCTCTTAACTCCTCTTTCTGCCTCTAATATGTCTATGACTAGGCCTTCATGTCTGAGAAGGTGTCCTACCGACCTATCTCGCCTATCTTCTATTAACTTCCATACAGTCGTTCTCCTATTCTTTCTTATACCTCTTCATTTCTGTAACACCACATTTCGAACGCTTTTAATCTTTTCTTTTGCGCCGCGCCCACAGTCCATGTTTCGCACCCGTACAGCGCGGCACTCCAAACATACACCTTTAACAATCTTTTCCGAATTTTTAAATTAATCGTTCGCAAGCATAGAAGTGACTTCCTTTTTTTGACTGACTTCCTAGTTACCTAAAATCAGCCACCAACACATAAGTGGGCATATGTCCTCTCGGATCTTATTCTGCAGGCAAATTTTGGAACACCCTGCATACAGAGAATAATTTATTTTCTCTTCATTGCTAAATCTTTCTAAATATACCTCACCACCTATATACTCCTTCATTTTGAATCCAGCATGCGAAAAACATCAAACTTCGAGTTTCAGAAGTTGATGTCTTTGTTCTGTCCTTAATTTGCATTCGGTAGTAAGACTATTACAATTTCGTTTGCATACAAATGCGGACAATCCCAGACGACGTTCACGATCGTGAAATAATAGAAGATCCACAGCAGCCCATCTCAGGAAGCGAGGCAATTAGGAAGCATCATTAGATTCAATGCACCCTTCGAATGGACTTCTGTAACATCCTTCCCAAAGGCAATATACTTATACATGTATATGTATACGTGTAGTTGGAGACTTTGAACCTTTACGGGTCATTAAGGATTTCTTTGATTCAAATCCGAACCGTTTCGAATATTGTAAACCGTGCAATTTGTCATGAACCTACATATATCACCCCCCATTAGAGAAAAAATAGCAAAAGTGGATTTTTGAAGTTACAATGAACTTGTCTATCAAAATAAAACAGAATTAAATTAAATACAGGGCGTCGAAAGAGAAGAAGCAGGAAGAAGTATGGCTTAATTGATCAATATAAAACACTTCTTTGTTAGCAATTGTTTGATCCTTTCATCTTCCCGACTGGAAATTAGTTCAGAGAACCCGGATTATGATCAGATGCGGATCAGATTTTCCGTAATACGGGCATCTGATCAGTTTCTGATCAGAGTACAGTACTCTATCCGTTTATCCACCGATCTAATCAGAGTACAGTACTCTGTCCATTGATCCACCGATCTGATCAGTTTCTGATCAGAGTACAGTACTTCATTCCTTGATCTAGTCATCCTATCAGAAATTGATCAGCGCACAGTACTCTATCTGTTGATCCAACCATCTGATCAGAAACTGATCATAGTAGAGTATCCTATCTCTTAATCCAGTCATCTGACCAATTTCTTATCACAATCTAATGCTACAAATTCTATTACGGTTTCGGTACAATCTTTAAATCAAGATTGTATCCGTTGTATCGCAAGAAGGCTCCGATATATCTACTCATGTCAGTATTGAATGGAAAGAGTATTTATTGATAGTTGTTTCAATATTTTTGCCGTGTTGGTAAGATTAAAAAAAATTAGTGTCTTCTGAACTTCACTGTGTTGCAATGCTAGATGGTAGCCCCCTTACAGGAATCGTGGGAATGGGTGTGTGGTAGTTGGGAGATACAATAGAACAGAAGTGAAAAATTATCTATGGAGTAATATTAATGTCCCAGCATTACTCAAGTAATATAAGGAAGCACAGAAGTTTGGACCAGTGTAAACGAACCGGTATCTTCCCAAATACTAAGCAATTCTTGAGAGCTTTAGGACACACCACTAGGTGTAGAATTGAAAGCTACAAAGTGCTTGAAAATTTTCTTATTTATTCTAAGGACTTCACGAAAACAGTCCGCGTGGAACTTTTTAAAAAAGTAAATAAGTATCTACATTGCGGTGGAGAAAGACACGGTTTCTAAAATAGTCCACAGAACCACCTCGTGCTACTCAATTCATTAATATAAATGATTCCGCAACGCCCTCCATAAAAACTGAAGACAGCCCAAAAGATTCTAAACTAATTGGAAATGGATCAACTAAAATATTGGATCCATATTGTTTTCCAGGTTCAATGTCATGGTCCATGGAATTTGGAATTTGGCACCTGCCAAATCACTACTTATCCTACTTTTACCAAGGAGTTACAAAATTCTATGAAAACTGCAAGATATTGTGGTATGCTAATAAATGCATATAATACAAAATTCTTAAAAAACGATTCGAAAAACTTCACTCATTAAATAAAACCAAAGTCAAAGATACTATGGATTCCTTTTCTTTCTCTTACTACAATGTGTAAANGAAACTGCCAGACGCGGATCGCGATTTCGATCTTTTTGGATCTCATCAGCGCGTCGCAGACAGCTCCGACAGAACACAGACCAACTTTTACATGCTGTCTTAACAGCGCGTTTTAGAAAATTTATTTATTTATTTATTTCCTTTTTACAATAAAGTGCTTTTGTTTTGGTTTTAAGGCCGTAGTCTTAAGAAAAGTAAAAACTGAATTTGAATGACCAAATCTAGCAAATTATCTTCATCAAATGAACTTCCGAAAAAGATAAAACGTAAATCCTTGAAGACAACGGCCTAATAATCTGCAAAACACACTTTGCTAATACTTTACTGGATATTATCAAATACAAACCATTATTTTAGCCATTTTATAAAATCCTCAACAAATACATCGTTCAGACTTGTGTGTTCTTCGAGTTGGAAAAAGACTCATTTTCGCCGATGGAGATATTAATGAATTGGTCTCCGAGATTCCTCTCGACCATAGTTCTACAGGTGCTAGACGACTTGATCGTTTGTCTCCGAAGTCAATTTCTCTCCAACTACTTTTTCAAAAGCGCGAACCTGTTGGCCAACCCGGGACACTTATGCGAAGAAGATTACAACTTAGAAGCTAATAGAATAAAGGCGTGCATGCTTAGAATGTTCGACGAATCGTTGACTTCATTGAAAACAGACAAGGAGTTCAAGAAGTTTCTCAATTCGCAGAATACGGAAATGGCCCTGATGCTCAAATGGAGAAACTTGGTGGACGGTTTAATGCCTCCCGACATTGCAACTAGAGGAAGAAGGATGTGTTTTAATGGATCGAAACATGGTAGAGATGTAGCGTACAGCTTGTACACGAACAGACAGTTGGAAAGTGTCGGAATTGTTCTCAAGAGTATTTTGTTAGTCAAGGAGAAACTTTTGCAAGTAAGTTTCGTTTTTCCGAAACAATTTTTGATGTATTGCTTTCTATTTACTCGAGAGTGCTTAAAGAACACGCGAATATTGGGTATTGTGTGTTTAAAACCTTGAGGTCAAGATTTTGCTGATTTCCCACGAGTTTCTGCCAGTTTGGTTATTGATTAGTTTGGCGTTTGAAGTTTCAGTCCAAATTTCTCATAAATGCACACCCTTATCAAACTTAATTATTGTTGCCACTCCATTGGTTCCCAATTTTTTTACATCATTACCGAATATATACCAGATTAAGTTTAAACAATAACGTATCACCACTTTTTTTATTCCGTTCAATTGTTTACGATTGAATATTGGCTGTTTCTAAAGTTTTTACTATTTATTTTCAATTTCAAGGCCCACCAAGATACTTCCTTTAGCATCAATTCGGTGTTTGCCCCTGAAAACCCAACAGACGACATAATTTACATCCTTGTAACGATTCTCGAACAGGCCAGAGACCAGTACATTGAAACAGCTCTCTTGGATCCAAGCATTGCCAAAAATCTGCCAAAAATTAAATTTCAATTTGACATTGCCATGACGAAATTGGTTGAGTCGATACGAAAAGATAAAGACATACACACATTTGATTTAGGGGACGATAAGACCATTGTCAAAATACTTCTCAAATGGCTGTATAAAGGTTTGGATCAAAGTAAAAAGAATATGGCGCCAGTGCTGAAACCTTATCTTAGAAATGTTTTCGTATTTTCAAATGCACTATCGTGGCATTTGGAAGAAATAACAAAGAAAGAGTACAAAGATGAACTGGAAGCCATGGGGTCGTTTGCTAAGTTGGTAACCTCTTCTCAAATCAGTCCAGCTCAGGGTTTAGTGGATTCAGTAAATAAGAATTGGAACTGGGCTAAAAGTATGCTCTGCTCAGTGGAAAAATCTCAACTAAGACTCGTCTTTTGTCCTGGAAGAGGCAAAACTTTAAGACATATCCTATATCTTCCTTTGGAAGAACAGAATAAAATTGACGACAATGGTCTTCAAACGCTAAACATGATAAGACAAACAATTCTACGAAACGGATACCAAACACTGCCGAGTAAAAGCTACTTCAGTACTTTCTCCAGAAAAGGTAAGTAGCGTTGGACTTTAGAATAAATAAAAAAAGTTTAGATCAGTGGACACTAGAACTGTCTTCATATGAATCCAGATGTACAATTTTCGGCTCGGGTGGGTAGTTGACCTTACGCAATCTGGAGGAATGGGGTTAAAAAGGTATAAAGCAAAACAATATTTCAAATGTTAATGTGAAAATTCAGTTTCCATTTATACCAACTTTAAATTACCTCAAGTTCATCAGGAAAAATTTGTTGCTGTTGTCGCACCCTCGTCGAGGATAGAACCCGCGACCTTTGGTTTTAAGCAACAATGCTCTGATGGCTCTGACCACTATGCTACGAACTCACGAACTTGAGGTAATTTATAGTCAGTATAAAAGATTAATTTTAGAAATTCGAAAAAGATTGTTAAAGGTGGATGATTGGAGCGCGGCGCTGTACGAGTGCAAAAAGAAAAGGTTAGAAGCGTTCGAAACGTGGTGCTACAGACGAATGATGAGAATACCGTGGATAGAGAACGTTAAAAATAAAGAGATATTAGAGAACTGAGGATGTCAATAAGAAATAGGCGAGATAGGTTGGTAGAACACCTTCTCAGGCATGAGACATATTACAGGCAAAAACGGAAGTTAAGAGGAGTAGAGGTAGACCTACATTAGATTACTGTTCGCAAAATTTTAAGGATGTGGGTTGTTCAAGCTTTAGGGAAATGTGAAGATTAGCTCAGATAGCGCAGGGTCGAGTCGCCTTCAATAAAAGAAGTCACTTCTATGCTCGCGAACTGTTAATTTAGAAATTCGAAAAGGTTTGGAGCACGGCGCTGTATGGGTGCGAGACGGGTACAGTGAGTGTGGCGGAAAAGAAAAGGATAGAAGCCTTCGAAATGTGGTGTTACAGGCGAATGATGAGGATACCGTGGATAGAGAAAGTTAGAAACGAAGAGGTAGGTATTAAAAAGAATAAGAGAACAGAGGACTCTATGGATGCCAATGAGAAATAGGTGAGATAGGTTAGTAGGACGCCTTCTCAGGCATGAAGGTCTAATCAGAAACATATTACAAGTAGAAACGGGAGTTAGGAGGGGTTGAGATAGACCTAGATTATATTACTGTTCGCAAGTAGCTAAGGATGTGGGTTGTTCTAGTTTTAGGGAAATGTGAAGATTAGCTCAGGATAGGAAAGAGTGGAGGTGTGTGCCCAACCAGTCTTAGAACTGGCGACCTTATGATGATGATAAATGAAAATGAATTTTCACAATAATATTTGATATATTAACCACTATTAAATAGCTGTGTTTCATATAAAATAATATTGTTACTTTATTATTTATTTATTACTAGCTTTTCCCCGCGGCTTCGCTCCCAGAAATTAATATTCTTTCTCCATAAAACCTTTTAGCTCCCAATTCACCCTTACAACGTTTTAATTTTGTGTAATGTCGCCATCTTTCAAATANTTGTCCGACCAAGGGAAGTTGAACAACCCCAATTATGTTGTTACCCGCTGTTATGCCATCCGCACCCCTCCGGTGTCATTTAATTTTGTACCATAGCAGTAAGATAATTTTAAGTAATTTGTATCAGTCAGTCTTTAGTCGTCTTAGTTATCAGTTCTCGAATAATTAGAAATCATAGTTTAGGAATCATAGTCATCATCTTTGTAGTAACCATCATCAACATTTCGTCATTATCACCCTAATTCTAAGCTGTATATATATTTTATATTAAAATATTAATTTAAATTCTACGAAGTGTTTTTCTTACAAAAAAAACATCTCGAAAGTATAATAGAAGTGGCACAACTGTGCAAGGCAAAAATCTTACATAACAGAACCAAAGGATTGTTCAGGATCGAACCTGTCTTGTCGCTGAATAAAAAAAAAAGACGATCTAATAAAAACATGACTGTAGTTTACTACTACTAGGAAAGTAGTTGTACTCCTTCGCTCCCTAATCAGTAATAATAATTAAGTGGGCAAAGTTAAGGGAACAGTTGACCTATTAATGGGTACTCCAAGGTGAATGGTAAGGGTGTTACCTCAGGAGCTTTAAGTTTATAACAATTTATGAGGAATTTCGAGTAGCGGAAAAGTGTATTTTTACGTGTTTCAGGTATAAATCTGATTACAAAATAAAATCGATATTGAGGCAATCCAATTCTCTCAGCAAATGAATACGTGTAGCCTACAAATTACGAAGTAATTGTGCACAACCGACCGCAGTTTATGCAGATACGGGCTGAACGTATAAGTAATCGGTTAATACCATATTTTTTAATTAATATTAATTTGAAATTTGTTAGCAATAACTCATTGCAGTGTAGAGGACAGGGTTTAATTAAAACCCTAAACTGTAGTTTAATTGGAATATTACATAGACACGCGAATATGAATCGCAGGAGCGTAATACAAGTTTTATTGCTAAAGCTTTAACTTAATTAATTTACAAATTATATGACGCAACACAGTTTAATGCATAATTTGAATAAAGCCAACAAGTTAATGGGTGTATTAGGCTAATTCGGCACATAAATCCCTAAAACATTATAAACGTAAAAGTCTTTCCCAATCGGTATATGTACACGTGCTTGTAATGATCTCTCTAGCAAACGTAAATATAAATTACTCCCTACATACAGCCAAAGGAGAATATAAGTAAAAATTTAATACCTACTTGCAGAGATGTGATTTATTTGAAACACATGCATTTAAAATGCAAATACAAAATAAAAAATACCTATTTTTATCTTGCATTTAAATACTTTTTTGAGAAAAGCATTTTGTATTTTATTTAAAATACTTTTCCAAAGGTATGTTCTATTTGTAAAATGCATAATACATTTTTGCCGTTAACTGTTTTACTAGTATCACCGATCAAACATATAAAATGACGAATGAAAGTTGCTCACATTGGCCATTAAAGGTATTAGCAGCTTAGAAAGAGGACAAAGAGACATTTCATGAATGAATTCTAGTGTACGACCGAAAGTTCGGTTTCGGTTTCGGTCGAATTTCGGCAAAAAAACGAGTTTCGGTTTTGTTTCGGTTTCGCCGGCAAACCTGCCAAAACTACGACCGAAACCGAAACTGCGTTCGGGGGTTTTCGCGCTCTGCTCGGTCATGTTCGGCGCGTTAAAGCGAACTATACTATACTTACTCAAATAAACATCTCACCTATTTTAAGTATTTTTAAGGCGCAATTAAAGTATTTCCTTAAATCAGGGGTTGTTATGTTGAATTTGATTTGATTATCAATAAGTGAAAATGTCAAAGACTGCAGAGCTATGTGATTTGTAGATAAAAAAATAAAATTGACTGATTATAATAACGTTTTCTTTATTTTTCTCTCAAAACATGATCCTTATAAGGAAGTTTCGGTTTCGGTTTCGGTTTCGGCCGAAACTGAGACCGTTGCCGAAATTCGGTTTCGGTTTCGGTCGTAAAAACCAGTTTCGGTCGGACACTA